CAACCACTCGTTGTTTCTGCGGCAGTGCTGGTCTCGGCTGCAGAGCTAGTGAGCGTTGAAGCACTCGTTGTTTCTTCGGCAGTGCTAGTCTCGTCTGCAGAGCTAGTTAGCGTCGAACCGCTCGTTGTTTCTGCGGCAGTGCTGGTCTCGGCTGCAGGGCTAGTGGGCGTTGAAGCACTCGTTGTTTCTTCCGCAGTGCTGGTCTCCGCTGCAGAGCTAGTGAGCGTTGAACCACTCGTTGTTGTCTCTGTTCCAGATGTATATGCTATCGTGGAGCTGCTCGTTTCTTGCTCACTCGTTGTTACTGCGGCAGTGCTAGTCTCGGCTGCAGAGCTAGTGAGCGTTGAACCACTCGTTGTTTCTTCGGTCGTGCTAGTCTCGGCTGCAGAGCTAGTTAGCGTCCAACCACTCGTTGTTTCTGCGGCAGTGCTGGTCTCGGCTGCAGAGCTAGTGAGCGTTGAACCACTCGTTGTTTCTTCGGTCGTGCTAGTCTCGGCTGCAGAGCTAGTTAGCGTCCAACCACTCGTTGTTTCTGCGGCAGTGCTGGTCTCCGCTGCAGAGCTAGTGAGCGTTGAAGCACTCGTTGTTTCTTCGGCAGTGCTGGTCTCGGCTGCAGGGCTAGTTAGCGTCCAACCACTCGTTGTTTCTGCGGCAGTGCTGGTCTCGGCTGCAGAGCTAGTGAGCGTTGAAGCACTCGTTGTTTCTTCGGCAGTGCTAGTCTCGTCTGCAGAGCTAGTTAGCGTCGAACCGCTCGTTGTTTCTGCGGCAGTGCTGGTCTCGGCTGCAGGGCTAGTGGGCGTTGAAGCACTCATTGTTTCTTCGGCAGTGCTGGTCTCCGCTGCAGAGCTAGTGAGCGTTGAAGCACTCGTTGTTTCTTCGGCAGTGCTGGTCTCGGCTGCAGGGCTAGTTAGCGTCCAACCACTCGTTGTTTCTGCGGCAGTGCTGGTCTCGGCTGCAGAGCTAGTGAGCGTTGAAGCACTCGTTGTTTCTTCGGCAGTGCTAGTCTCGTCTGCAGAGCTAGTTAGCGTCGAACCGCTCGTTGTTGTCTCTGTTCCAGATGTATATGCTATCGTGGAGCTGCTCGTTTCTTGCTCACTCGTTGTTACTGCGGCAGTGCTAGTCTCGGCTGCAGAGCTAGTGAGCGTTGAACCACTCGTTGTTTCTTCGGCAGTGCTGATCTCGGCTGCAGAGCTAGTTAGCGTCGAACCGCTCGTTGTTGTCTCTGTTCCAGATGTATATGCTATCGTGGAGCTGCTCGTTTCTTGCTCACTCGTTGTTACTGCGGCAGTGCTAGTCTCGGCTGCAGAGCTAGTGAGCGTTGAACCACTCGTTGTTTCTTCGGTCGTGCTAGTCTCGGCTGCAGGGCTAGTTAGCGTCCAACCACTCGTTGTTTCTGCGGCAGTGCTGGTCTCGGCTGCAGAGCTAGTGAGCGTTGAAGCACTCGTTGTTTCTTCGGCAGTGCTAGTCTCGTCTGCAGAGCTAGTTAGCGTCGAACCGCTCGTTGTTTCTGCGGCAGTGCTGGTCTCGGCTGCAGGGCTAGTGGGCGTTGAAGCACTCGTTGTTTCTTCCGCAGTGCTGGTCTCCGCTGCAGAGCTAGTGAGCGTTGAACCACTCGTTGTTGTCTCTGTTCCAGATGTATATGCTATCGTGGAGCTGCTCGTTTCTTGCTCACTCGTTGTTACTGCGGCAGTGCTAGTCTCGGCTGCAGAGCTAGTGAGCGTTGAACCACTCGTTGTTTCTTCGGTCGTGCTAGTCTCGGCTGCAGAGCTAGTTAGCGTCCAACCACTCGTTGTTTCTGCGGCAGTGCTGGTCTCGGCTGCAGAGCTAGTGAGCGTTGAACCACTCGTTGTTTCTTCGGTCGTGCTAGTCTCGGCTGCAGAGCTAGTTAGCGTCCAACCACTCGTTGTTTCTGCGGCAGTGCTGGTCTCCGCTGCAGAGCTAGTGAGCGTTGAAGCACTCGTTGTTTCTTCGGCAGTGCTGGTCTCGGCTGCAGGGCTAGTTAGCGTCCAACCACTCGTTGTTTCTGCGGCAGTGCTGGTCTCGGCTGCAGAGCTAGTGAGCGTTGAAGCACTCGTTGTTTCTTCGGCAGTGCTAGTCTCGTCTGCAGAGCTAGTTAGCGTCGAACCGCTCGTTGTTTCTGCGGCAGTGCTGGTCTCGGCTGCAGGGCTAGTGGGCGTTGAAGCACTCATTGTTTCTTCGGCAGTGCTGGTCTCCGCTGCAGAGCTAGTGAGCGTTGAAGCACTCGTTGTTTCTTCGGCAGTGCTGGTCTCGGCTGCAGGGCTAGTTAGCGTCCAACCACTCGTTGTTTCTGCGGCAGTGCTGGTCTCGGCTGCAGAGCTAGTGAGCGTTGAAGCACTCGTTGTTTCTTCGGCAGTGCTAGTCTCGTCTGCAGAGCTAGTTAGCGTCGAACCGCTCGTTGTTGTCTCTGTTCCAGATGTATATGCTATCGTGGAGCTGCTCGTTTCTTGCTCACTCGTTGTTACTGCGGCAGTGCTAGTCTCGGCTGCAGAGCTAGTGAGCGTTGAACCACTCGTTGTTTCTTCGGCAGTGCTGATCTCGGCTGCAGAGCTAGTTAGCGTCGAACCGCTCGTTGTTGTCTCTGTTCCAGATGTATATGCTATCGTGGAGCTGCTCGTTTCTTGCTCACTCGTTGTTACTGCGGCAGTGCTAGTCTCGGCTGCAGAGCTAGTGAGCGTTGAACCACTCGTTGTTTCTTCGGTCGTGCTAGTCTCGGCTGCAGAGCTAGTTAGCGTCCAACCACTCGTTGTTTCTGCGGCAGTGCTGGTCTCGGCTGCAGAGCTAGTGAGCGTTGAACCACTCGTTGTTTCTTCGGTCGTGCTAGTCTCGGCTGCAGAGCTAGTTAGCGTCCAACCACTCGTTGTTTCTGCGGCAGTGCTGGTCTCCGCTGCAGAGCTAGTGAGCGTTGAAGCACTCGTTGTTTCTTCGGCAGTGCTGGTCTCGGCTGCAGGGCTAGTTAGCGTCCAACCACTCGTTGTTTCTGCGGCAGTGCTGGTCTCGGCTGCAGAGCTAGTGAGCGTTGAAGCACTCGTTGTTTCTTCGGCAGTGCTAGTCTCGTCTGCAGAGCTAGTTAGCGTCGAACCGCTCGTTGTTTCTGCGGCAGTGCTGGTCTCGGCTGCAGGGCTAGTGGGCGTTGAAGCACTCATTGTTTCTTCGGCAGTGCTGGTCTCCGCTGCAGAGCTAGTGAGCGTTGAAGCACTCGTTGTTTCTTCGGCAGTGCTGGTCTCGGCTGCAGGGCTAGTTAGCGTCCAACCACTCGTTGTTTCTGCGGCAGTGCTGGTCTCGGCTGCAGAGCTAGTGAGCGTTGAAGCACTCGTTGTTTCTTCGGCAGTGCTAGTCTCGTCTGCAGAGCTAGTTAGCGTCGAACCGCTCGTTGTTTCTGCGGCAGTGCTGGTCTCGGCTGCAGGGCTAGTGGGCGTTGAACTCGTTGTTTCTTCCGCAGTGCTGGTCTCCGCTGCAGAGCTAGTGAGCGTTGAACCACTCGTTGTTGTCTCTGTTCCAGATGTATATGCTATCGTGGAGCTGCTCGTTTCTTGCTCACTCGTTGTTACTGCGGCAGTGCTAGTCTCGGCTGCAGAGCTAGTGAGCGTTGAACCACTCGTTGTTTCTTCGGCAGTGCTGATCTCGGCTGCAGAGCTAGTTAGCGTCGAACCGCTCGTTGTTGTCTCTGTTCCAGATGTATATGCTATCGTGGAGCTGCTCGTTTCTTGCTCACTCGTTGTTACTGCGGCAGTGCTAGTCTCGGCTGCAGAGCTAGTGAGCGTTGAACCACTCGTTGTTTCTTCGGTCGTGCTAGTCTCGGCTGCAGAGCTAGTTAGCGTCCAACCACTCGTTGTTTCTGCGGCAGTGCTGGTCTCGGCTGCAGAGCTAGTGAGCGTTGAAGCACTCGTTATTTCTTCGGCAGTGCTGGTCTCCGCTGCAGAGCTAGTGAGCGTTGAACCACTCGTTGTTTCTGCGGCAGTGCTGGTCTCCGCTGCAGAGCTAGTGAGCGTTGAACCACTCGTTGTTGTCTCTGTTCCAGATGTATATGCTATCGTGGAGCTGCTCGTTTCTTGCTCACTCGTTGTTACTGCGGCAGTGCTAGTCTCGGCTGCAGAGCTAGTGAGCGTTGAACCACTCGTTGTTTCTTCGGCAGTGCTGATCTCGGCTGCAGAGCTAGTTAGCGTCGAACCGCTCGTTGTTTCTGCGGCAGTGCTGGTCTCGGCTGCAGGGCTAGTGGGCGTTGAAGCACTCGTTGTTTCTTCGGCAGTGCTGGTCTCCGCTGCAGAGCTAGTGAGCGTTGAACCACTCGTTGTTTCTGCGGCAGTGCTGGTCTCCGCTGCAGAGCTAGTGAGCGTTGAAGCACTCGTTGTTTCTTCGGCAGTGCTAGTCTCGTCTGCAGAGCTAGTTATCGTCGAACCACTCGTTGTTGTCTCTGTTCCAGATGTATATGCTATCGTGGAGCTGCTCGTTTCTTGCTCACTCGTTGTTACTGCGGCAGTGCTAGTCTCGGCTGCAGAGCTAGTGAGCGTTGAACCACTCGTTGTTTCTTCGGTCGTGCTAGTCTCGGCTGCAGAGCTAGTTAGCGTCCAACCACTCGTTGTTTCTGCGGCAGTGCTGGTCTCGGCTGCAGAGCTAGTGAGCGTTGAAGCACTCGTTGTTTCTTCGGCAGTGCTAGTCTCGTCTGCAGAGCTAGTTATCGTCGAACCACTCGTTGTTGTCTCTGTTCCAGATGTATATGCTATCGTGGAGCTGCTCGTTTCTTGCTCACTCGTTGTTACTGCGGCAGTGCTAGTCTCGGCTGCAGAGCTAGTGAGCGTTGAACCACTCGTTGTTGGAGTTGTAGTTGTTGTTACCATGGTTTTTGTGGTGGTTGTAATTCTTTTTCTTCTGCATCTGATCTTTTCGATACGCGCACCATTCCTTGCATACCACTTGCCTTTTTTGCATCTTAGCATTCCAGTTGCTGTGGTTGTTTGCATATTGAGCATATGCCATTTTACCCGAGACTGATAATCTATGAGGACAGTGTATCCTTTTGCAGTGCATGTCACAGCGGCCGTGTAGTACTCTCCACCAGAGTACCTAAAAATTTCATTCATTTACATATGCCTTCTATAAAATCTTTCACTCTACCTAATATTAGGTTGCACGCATGATGTGCGTCCTCTTCGGTTTCTGCAGTTTATTGTAGATATTTCTGCACAACCTTTTCGATCTATAATACTGTTAGTAAGAGAGTAGGTGACTGTTCATTGGACCAAGTCTCCGCGGACTCCTATCATGCCACAATAACAGTTTCTTTTGGTTTTGTAGAATATGCAAATCAGCCGGACATTCTTACGTGAACAAAAGAAAAGGCATTAAAGTTGAACTATAGCGACGGAATATTACCACGCTTACCATTGGTGGCGCCACCTACGATGCTGGGTATAGCACGTGGATACCATGGCTCGAGCTCAACATCACTGACAGGTATGCGTTCTAAGTTGTAGTTGATCTGAGAAGGTGAATGCTTGTTTGGCAAGTTTGAAGCGTGAAGAAATTGAGTGCTCTATCTTAAGTACAGAAGGCATTTGCACAGTATCAGATTTCTATCATTTAAATCTGTGCCCACTATTCCTGTCATCTTATATACAGTGTGTCCCAAAAGTATGTATCGAACGTTTGATCGTTAATATCTCTCTCTTCCCAATAAGTCTTTTGCCTTGCTTCAGGTACCTTTTTGTAGAGCTGGCTTCACCTTAGATTCGCAGTATAGAACGAATCACCTATCTCTCTTTATTACTGTAGGATTACGGTAGAAACTTCAAAGAGGGTTTTGAGCCATGAAAGGCCATATTTTGCCTCAGAAAGGAATTAAAACAGCCTAAAACTTTTACACTAGGCTAATTAGAGTTGCTGATATTAATTGTAAAGTTCCCAGCTTGTTATGATGCTTCATTAGAGATTTATGCCAGGTAAGCAGTGGCCACAATCAATGTTCCTCAAAAGTGCGGTTACACAATTTAGAAAGCTTCGCAGTCTTGTGAATAGTTGAGTATTGAATTCAGCGTCCATAAAAACCCTATTACACAAGTTTTCACATTTTTTTGAAATTTTTTTGAAACGGCAGCTTTTCTTACATTGGCACCATGTGTTTCAAGTTTCTACCATAATCCTACAGTAATGAAGAGAGATGGGTGATTCCTTCTATACTGCAAATCTAAGTTGAAGCCAGCTCTACAGAACGATACCTGAAGCAAGCCAAAAGACTTATTGTGGAGAGAGATATTAACGATCAAACAGTGCATACATACTTTTGGGACACCCTGTATAAAGCTGAATGTCTGTTTGTCTGTGTGTCTGTATGTCTGTATGTCTGTATGTCTGTATGTCTGTACGTATGTTCCGAATAGAAAATTCTATTTCTGAACCGATCCGGACCAAACTTGGCACACATACACTTCGGGCCCCGGCAGGTGTCATAGGCTACTTTTCGTCATCGATCGATACCGATTTTATCGATTTCTATCGATTTTTTTGCTGAGTTCACCTACAGGGCTGGGAGTTGGCACAGGGGGTAATCGAGCATGGGGATTCCGAATACAATATTAGTTTTCAGGATTATCGATTACTTGCATCGATTTTATCGATTTTTTTGCAAAGTTTGAGCTACGGGGCTGGGAGTTTGCACAGGGGGTAATCGAACATGGGGATTCCGAATACAATATTAGTTTTCAGGATTATCGATTACTTGCATCGATTTTATCGATTTTTTTGCAAAGTTTGAACAACGGGGCTGGGAGTTTGCACAGGGGGGTAATCGAACATGGGGATTCCGAATACAATATTAGTTTTTAAAATCGTCCATTATTTTTATCGATTTTATCAATTTTTTTTGCAAAGTTTGAGCTACGGGGCTGGGAGTTTGCACAGGGGGTAATCGAGCATGCTGATTACGAGTTCGATATTAGTTTGGCGCTATTCGGCTAAGTGGGCCCCAAAATTTTTTGTCGTAGAGCTTGGGTTATCTTAATCTAACATGCTGATTACAGATATCACACTTTCGTCGCAGAAAGTCTCCCCATATGGTTACGATAGGTGTACGGTAAGAAGTCAAAATCATGATTTCGGCTGGAGTTCGGCCCATATGGTTTATTCGACATACTAATTACAAATATCATCTCTCTCTCTCTGCATATTCGGACCTTTTCATAGAGTTGTGATGGTTATATTATATGGGGTCGAAGACATCGATTTGCTTTAAACTTTGTGTAGGGTGGTAATTTAGTTCGTTGAACATGAATATCATGCTGATTTCGCAGGATAGTGCATTTTCTTGGGTTACCGTGGGTGTAGATGGGTCGAAGTTCCAGATTTGCTCAACTTACCTGTAACGGTTCACAAGTGTACTGCTTATGAATATGAAACTTGCTCGCTGTCATAACGCATTAGTGAAGTTATGGTGAGTTGCAGGATTTGAATGGACAGGGCCAATTTAGATCCCAGATATTCATGAAATGGGGAAACGGTCGTTTTGCATGGCGGTCTCGGCGCCATCCTGATGACCTGTCCCAACGTGTAACGCACGCGGCATCTCCTGCTCCCTGTTTTTGTTTAGGCAAAAGCCGCCGAAGGGTGTAACGCTCGCGGCAAATCTCTCTCCCCCTATTTCTGCTTAGGCAAAAGCCGCCGAAGGGCGTATTGCACGCGCAAATTCCCCCCCCCCTATTTCTGCTTAGGCAAAAGCCGCCGAAGGGTGTATTGCACGCGGCAAATCTCCCTCCTTCTATTTCTGCTTCGGCAAAAGCCGCCGAAAGGTGTATCGCACGCGGCAGTGGTCCTGTGAGGAAAGCATTACGGTCGTGGGAAACTTTTATACCACACGAATTGCCTTTATCGCGGGGGTTGAGCACGATATTCTTTGAACAGCACTTTAGGTAATTCCCTGCCAAGGTTTCAGGCAGGTTTATGATGTTTACCCGCTGCCACGCGATGACTATGATATTGTCATCAGCGGCTCAGATAACCCCCATATACTGAGTTTGAGCAAGATCCGTCACAAAAACATTTTGAGGCCCGGGTAGCCGAATAACGCCATCAGTTTTTGAAATTATCCTTACTTTTATCGATTTTATTGTTTTTTTTGTGCAAAGTTTGAGCTACGGGGCTGGGGGGTTGGTGAGGAAGGTACGTGAGCATACTGATTAATCACGCAGCGGGAATAGGGAATGTAGAAGTGGGCACAGGTAAAGGTGTACAGGGATAGAAATGGAACCTTTATCGTTTTTGACAGGGTCAGGCGGAGCCGGGTAAGCCAGCTAGTACTGCAGTAATACTCACCTTTTCAGAATTTTCCTTCCTCACCTGTCCTCGGCATGTTCTTCTCGTGCAGCAAGGATTATTTCTCGGCGTGCAACAAGGACTATTTCTCTGCTTGCAACAAGGGTTATGTCTCAGCGTGCAGCAAGGATTTTGTGAGCATTTGGCATGTACCATAGCTGCCAGTAAGAGACAAAACACAAACGTTTCCATTTTGGAAAGTGCTGCAATGAGATCGAAACGATACGCAGAAATTTATACCCTACACAGGTCCAACGTCCCCCAGGTGCTACATCATTCGTATGGAATGCGATTATTAGACTGCAGTTTTAAGAGCATACCTTATTATTGAGATGAGTCATACTTTGATGATTCCATACCAATTCCATCAGGGCTTGGTGGCTCACGAAGCAGGCTGGATATCGTTTTGGAGTGAAAAGCGGAGGAAATACCCCGAAATCATGTATAAGCTTAGCCTTTTGTATATGAAAGAATCGCCTTTCTCATAGTGCAAAATCGGAGTGTCGGGAATGGGAGAAATATTCTAATAACCTTCTGATACGCAAAGTAATCCAAAACCGGATTTTTGTAAAAAATCAAACGAGTAAGAAACTTCGACAAGCTGGCCAGTTTCCGCCCACTAACTCAGCAATTTTTGCAGGGCTCCTCTCGTAAAAACAAAACATGTCGCAGAGCTTATTACACGAGTCATACATACATACTCCCAAATATCATCACATACTCACAACTTTCATCCCTCCTTTCCCCCCCCCCCCCTTCAAGATCCCCTCCTCTTCTTTTGTGTCATTTCTTCATCTTTTAGAGACGTCGCAGGTGCTGCAGGTGCTTACGCTGACCTACTTATTCAATTCTCCGCGGAACCATCATTTCCCGCTCCAATACGCTTGCCCCGCAAGCGCGGGAATTCAAAAATGCTCCCTTAATATATAAAAAGCCATATATAATATATGGCTTGTTTACAGCTAAGAAGAAATGATATGACACCAAAATCGGAGGGTAGATGCGCGATAGGGAGTTGGAACTATGCTTGAAAAAGTCGAGACATGCTGAACGTGAGGGGCCTTATGTGCGGATCTGCGATCGATAATGCTGCTTCGGAAGCCAAAGCCATACGCAGCGAGGCTCTGGGATGGCGAGCGCTTACCGAAAAGGAATAGGTGATTAACACCAACTGTACGTTGCTGACTTGTTTTCAACTCTAAACTGAGCCGATTCGCAGAATTTTTTTGTATTCAATTGGTGTTTGCAAATTTGGGGGAGGGGTGGCTGCCGCCACGTCTCTTTTGTTATTTTGGAGTCATCTGTGTCTGCAAAGATTGGCTGGAGGAGTATATGTCAATGTCGCCGACAGGCTCTACGCGCGAATAGCTGGTACAAATCTGTAATGTTAGGAGATGCATGCTTCACAGATGTCCGCGTGGGACCACCTTCTACATATAAGCGTCAAAAATACCGAAGAGAAGGCTAAGCCACATTTCTTCATTCAAGAAGTTTTTCTTAACCGGTTGGAAAACACTGCAGCAAAAGGTAGCCAACAAAAGCTTCCTTTTGGCCAAATAATGCCGATTAGCATATGGACGGAGCGCTACTGTCTGGGCCAATAATCGCGATTATAGAAGAACTCACATGAATTGAGTTACCTACTTTTTGCTTCTCTAACCTTACTCGCGAACGGTCGGCTAACTCTTAGCTTTGACTCGTACCATCAAACAAGGATTGGAATAGGAAGACCTAGTATTAGGTTGTCCGGAAATCAATGTCCGTTTTGAATTTCAACCGCAATAAGTCATACACTTTTTATTCTCAACTAGGCTTCAAAGTACCATTCGATAGAGCAAAGCAAGCTCTACAAGATGACTATCTTGCTTTAGCAACAGCTGTGATCCACCTTGAGTTTCTAGCCAAAAACTGAAATGATTCAACTGCCCGAAAAATGGAGAAAAATCGTAACTCAATTCATAGGAATCCTACAAAAATTTTAACTTGCTCACGTAACCACTATCCGTATAAGGCATATATGTACGCCATTGCCGTATTTTTTCCTTCGTTAAAAATCAAGAAAACGGAAATTTTCATGTTCTGCCAAAGTGATGCTGTGCCGTCCCCACATAAGTAGATGTACACTACAGATCTGTAGAAGTACAAATGAGTACTTTCAGCTCTCAGCTTTAGTTCTCGAGAAATATCGAATATAGCTTTCATTAGTCAGGTGGTCCAAGCTAAAATTCAAATTTCTCGAGAACTAAAGCTTGTAGAGAGCTGAAAGTACTCCTTTGTATTTCTACAGATCTGTAGTGTACATCTATATGTGGGGACGGCACAGCATCACTTTGGCAAAAGCATGAAAATTTCCGTTTTCTTGATTTCTAACAGAGGAAAAAATACGGCAATGACGTACACATATGCCTTATATGGATAGTGTTTACGTGAGCAAGTTAGAATTTTTGTAAGATTCCTATGGACTGAGCTACGATTTCTCTCGATTTTTCGGACAGTTGAATCATTTTAGATTTTGGTTCAAAACTCGAGGCGCATTAGAGCTGTTGCTAAAGCAAGATAGTCATCTTGTAGAGCTTGCTTTGCTCTATCGAATGGTACTTTGAAGCCTATTCAGGATTGAAAAATTGTGAATTATTGGGGTTGAAAACGAAAACGGACATTAATTTCCGGACAACCTAATAGAAGAAACCGTGGCTGGTCCACTAGATCTTCTTTGAAGTCGGAGAGCAGGATCCGTCACGAATAGATGTGCGCCGACTGGTGAGAATACAAGGATTTTTTTTAGCAAAGTTGAACTCTTGAGCCATAAGTAGAATCACCGCAATTTTCATTGCATTTAACCACTGAGAATGAATAAATGTAAATGTAAATGTAAATGTAATCATCTCTGCTTTGAGATTAGACCCACGTGATAATTGCATATGTGTCTCGCAAGCAGTTGCTTTCTCGCGTTGCTCTCAATCAACACCATAGGTGCGAAAGGTGAAGCAGAGTCCCCTTTAGGTGAAGGGGTTTTGGCTATTTTCCACCTAAAAGTGAAGGGGATAAGTTAACTTATAGTAAATGGTGACATAAAGAAAACCAATACATGAAGAGAAAGGCATCAATAGGTTGTAAGTATGAAATAGATCGAAAGTTGAAATAATAAATAAACGATAGTATGAATTATAATAAACAAGCTTACATGCGGAGTGGGACGGTGTGCAAAGAAGGAGAATAAGTGGTACAGAGGTGTAATATGAATTTTTCAATGCGTTGGTTTTGAAAGGTCATCGAACAGAGACTGTTTTGATTTGAGAAAGCTTTATGTTTCGTCAATCAACATACCGTTCGAAAGCTTGAAATATGTAGAATCAACGTAGACAGTCTTTTTTTCCCGGGTTTCCTGTGAAACCACACATAATATTTTCTATCTAGATGCAGAATTGACTGATTTTATGCGATCACTTTGCGCTCCATTTCTAAGAGCGAGAGAAAAGCTAGAAGAAAAAGAGACGGTCTACGTTTACTGGCAAAGTCTTGCTCTATAACACAATTAGACAATCAGGCGTCTTCATTCATTCTTTACGTAGAAGTTCTCTCACAAAAACACCTGCGTTTTTAGCTTGAACGACATGTATCTCCAAGTAGAGGAGGAAGGTGAGGGAGAAAGAAATAGCCTAGGTAGGATCTCCGTTTCGTGAGCTTTCAACGGTATGTAGATTGTGATGAAAAAACTTGCGGCTCCTCAAAAATGGGGTGGAGTATGCACCATTAGCTTGCTCCTCCCGCTCACTTAATGGTTTGGCTTTTATGGGTTGCCGGAGCAAGAGTTTTTTGAAGCGGGAAAGCTTTATGCACCAACAGTTTATATACGTATATGCTTACTTGAGACGATCACCAAGACTGTAGCACGCTTTATTCAGCCAGGCTAACGTTTCGGTGCCTTCACTTTCGTCGGAACCTGGAAGGTCGTCACATTAGTGGTTTGTTCTCCCGAATACCTCGTTCAAGCCAAGGCTACATTCAGCATCAGGCCAGGATGAAAGCCATGACGGAAACCGTCGTTCATGCTCACCTCGGCTGTTTTCGAATCGGGGTCGAGCCATCATCAAACACAGCGTCTGCACAGTTAGCAATAGTAGAGGCTAGTACAAGTGCCTTATATAGATGAATCTAATCTCAGTGTAGATCAAATCCGCGAAGGGAGTGATATGCGATTAGATCACTATTCATGGCAACGCCCTCTTCATTGCAGGAGCCTTGGATATTATCCAAAATGCTTCTAGTGTTTTACGAGGAATTATTTCGGGTTTACGCGTTAAGATTGTGACGGCTATATCAAATTGTTGATCCGAGTGATTCTGCGATGTGCGCCTAGGGGGGTGTTCGATTTAGATTTTATAAGACCATCTAGGTGGTCTTTGATTCTCACACAAAGAGGCCTGCCAGTCTCTCCTATGTACTCTTTCTCGCAAGTTTGGCAAGTTATTTGATAAACTACTCCCGCTTCCATGCAATCGCCTGGTTGACCAAATGGGCATATGGCACAATCGGTATAATGCATGGTCGATCGTAAGAGCGATTACGAATTAGTTGTTTCTTGAGACTGGGAGGCGGAATATCTACACTACTGACGGAGTCTCTAAGGCCTGCATGTTCTAAGCTTTTCCTTATCGCTTTGCTGAATTCTTCAGATATAAAAGGAACACAAAAAGATATTTTTGCTTAATTCTTGTTTGTGCGCGGTCTGTATTCTTGCCAGGTACGGTTCGATAAATGGTTTGTGGGGTAGCCATTGGACTTCGCAATCTGTCTGGCAAGAATCAACGATGTAGCGCGTACTTGATTGGAGGAAACTGCCTTTGCAGTCTTGAACATATTGGGAATTATTGACCTTTTTGTGGTCCAAGGATGGGCCGAGTGATAGTGTATCAAGATATTTTTGCTGCTTGGTTTTCGAAACCACTTGGTCTTGTATGATCCATCACGCAACTGCACTTGGACGTTAAGGAAAGGCAGCCAGTTTTCGCTGGGCTTCTCTCGTGTAAACTTTTTGTGTGAGGATTGGCTGTTAAGCAGATTGGAGCAAGTGTCTAGTTCATCTTGTGTAGCGCACACTATACAACAAACATCTACATAGCGGCAATAAAGTATTGGTTTGCCCGAAGTACGGGGCTCTCCATTTTTGACATATAGGCAATAGCAACGACAGGTGCCAGCCTTTGGCCCATCGCTAATCCCCTGACTTGTCTATAGTACTGCCCACACCATCGAAGAGACCTGCAGCTAAGGCATCCTACGAGAAGAACCATCACATGCCGGATATCATAGCCGTACATGTTGATGGAGCCATGGTGTTCGCACAATATCTCGCAAACCGCTTCCA